CACAAGAACACACACAGAGACACGAGCAATCGCTTGCTCGCCTCCCCACACGTGCCTCATCACACCCACACACAATGCTCACGCATCACACACACAAACAAATCCACACACACACAGACACGCCCGTGCTGTTCTCATTGCATGTGCCGTGCATGCATGTGTGCTCGTGCAAGCATTGCTCACAACACAATCAAGTGTGTCGCTTCGCTTTGCCTGCACTCACACACTACACACTACACACACACACATGAAGAGAGAGGTCGCTCAGAACACAGCAGATCCAAGACCCAAGAAGAAAGAGAAGTTGTAGCTGCAAGGGCGCAGACGCGGCTTTTCGTGCCCGCAAGCAATCCTGCTCAGCGACAATCGCCTTGCTCTCATGCTTGCGCCTCTACTCAGCGGCTCTTTGCCTTTGCCTTCTCTTTTCCTTTTTTTGTCTTGCTCATTTGCATCCTTCCCCTCATGTATGCCAATCCATCGAGCGGCAGCTGTTTGAATCGCTGCTTTGCCCGCGTGCACTTTGCCTGCAGGCACCGCAAGCTAGATTCAGTGAATCTGCTAGATCTAGATTTGTGACTGGATCTAGCGAGTGCACACAGCTTCACTGCATCAAGATTCTTCACATTGCTCGCACCCCAGATTCCCCTGGCCCGTGACCAACCAATGCTTGCATGCTTGCACTTGCACTAGCGGTTCGCTGCTGCATGCTGCAGCTGCACTGGTGCATCGCGACGCAGTGTTCAGACACTACTCATCACAGCTTTGAGCTTTTTTTCATCACATGATCGCACTTTTCTGCACCCCCTTTTTGACTTCACCGCCCCAGTCTCCCTACTCCGATGATCAAGTAAGCAAGCGAGCAAACGTCACTGCACCATGCCATGAGCTGCAGCAACAGGCACAAGACCATGTGGCTGGCTTGCAGGCACACGTGCACGCGAGCACGCCGCGCTGTGCGCACTTCTATTTGCCTGCAGGCACGCAGCGCTGAAACAAGAAGGAGCAAAGCGGAGGAACTGCGGAGTACAACAGCGAGGATGGATGCCTTTCCATGTGATTGCACAAGAGACAAGCAAGTAGGCAGAGAACGACGAGGAGCAGCGCAAGGGACACGTGTGCACGTGTGTGTGCATGCGTTTGTGTGTAGATGTTGCCTGTAGGCACGGGAACGTGTTTCTGATTAAAGTGGAATGGATGAGTGGCAAACCTCTGCTCACTGCAGACACACTTGCATGCGATTGTACAGTGCTGCTGTGTTACTTGCAAGCATTGGTAGCTTCTCCTGTTTCCATTGGATTCATTCCACAAAGATCCCTCTGCTCACTGCAGACACACTTGCATGCGATTGTGCAGCGCTGCTATGTTGCTCGCAGGTACTCACAACATCTTCTACTTGCATTGGATTCACTCCACTACATCCGTCTACTCACTTGCAAGCACTCACAGCTTCTCTTACTTTGATTGAATTCACTGCAAAACGATCCTCTACTCGCTGCTGTGTTACTCGCAAACACTCACAACTCATCCTGTTTGCATTGGATTCACTCCACTACATCCGTCTATTCACTTGCAAGCACTCACAACTCATCCTGCTTGCTTTGGATTCACTCCACTTCATCCGTCTATTCACTTGCAAGCACTCACAACTCATCCTGCTTGCTTTGGATTCACTCCACTTCATCCCTCTACTCACTCGCAAGCACTCACAACTTCCCCTGCTTGCATTGGATTCACTCCACTTCATCCGTCTACTCGCTGCAGACGCTTCATGCGTACGCTTGCTTGCTCTGTGCGTGTTGCTTGCAAACACCCACAACTTCCCTTGCTTCTGCCTTGTTCACTTCACAACACTCCTCCACTCACCAGCAACTGTGTCACAGCATCACCCACCATGCCTGCACGCACCTGCAATCGACCCTTTATCAATCCTCACCATCACTCACACACCGCTCTGTCACTCCCTCGCCACTTCACTGCAGGCACGCCACTTCACTCAGCAGCAACGCCTCGCTCCTTGTATTTACTCTCCAACATCACCTGCGCTTCCTCTCTCGCCTCCAACAGCGATATGATCAGGTGTGTAAGAAGCTCGCTGCAATCGCCTTCTTCTCTTCCCACTTCACCTTCTCTCTTCGTGCATGCGTGCTACTGCTTGCACTGGTTGTGCTTCTGCCTCCTTTGCTCCACCTCCACCATTACAACACAACACACACATCCATGCACGTGCTGTTTTGTCCCTTTGTCTCACCCTTCACTCACTTTTGCCTTTCTCTCTTCCCTTTGCCTTTCCACATTCCATGTGTTGCTTTGTTGCTTTGCACTTGTTGCCACATGCTTCATTCACCCTCGTCTCTCCCTCTCTTCCATCCATTCACCACCACACAGCACCTCTGCACACAACATCACACATCCTTCACTTCACACAACACAGCACCACATACAACCCACTGTGTGCATTCGTGCTTGCCTTCGTCCCTTTCTTTCACCACCTTGTCACCACAAGCCTTGTCTGTCTATTTCACCTGCGTTCCACCACCCCTCCTGTCTTGTTTCAATTCTTGCCACTGCTGTTGTTGTTTCCATGTGCTTGCATGCCTTCCCTTGTCCCTGTTCACTACTTTGTGCCGCCACTTCTTCCCTTGAGCCTGCCTTCCTTCCCTTCCCTTTCCTACCTCGTTCATGTTTCATGCATGTGTCTATGTGTTACAACACATCGTAAACCCATCAAGCCCACACTGCCGCCTTCTTCACCATCAGCCCTGTTCACATCCACCACCACCAGTCCCTGCCATCACTCACTCGCTTCATCCTTTCCCCCATCCCCACGCACACAGCTGCTGCTGCTGTCCTCACCTGCGTGCAACACCCGCTCCACAGCCACACGCCCAGCTCACCACCAATCACAACACACACTGTGTTGACTTCACTGCAACCATCAACAACCATCCACCAGTACCATCACACGATACACACAGCTGCACATGCGTGTTGCATTGTATGTTTCCACTTCACTTCAGCAACACGACAGCAAGCAAACACACACACACACACACACGCACGTGGCAAGAATAAGCGAGAAAGTATCCCCATATCAACTGCAAGCAACACAGAACAAGCGACAGCTCCACGCTACGCCACACGGCTTCACTCCCCCATCAGCCGCCATCATCACCTTCAGCCAACAACAGCAGTAGCAGCAGCAGCAGCAGTGTGCATGCTGTGGCAAGAGAGAACAGAGAGAGAAAGGAAAAGGGAGGGAGGAAGACAGAAGGATACAAGAAGAGAGACGTGCACGCTGTCAACGACACCACGACACAACATGACACAACACACAACACAATGCAACACCACCCGCTCACGCTCCCCTCCTTCTCCAACGAGGTGCGTGGTCTATGGCAGCCCCACGTCTTGCTTGCTTGTCCTGTGTCCATGCTGGCTCGTGTGTCCTTGCTTGGTTGCGCGTGCCATGCCCTGGGTTCCAACAAACAGCCTGCACTTCCCCTGCACAAGCGTCCATGTGTTTGTGTGCATGTGCGTGTGAGGGGATGACAAAGAGGGAAGAGAGAAAGAAGCAGAAGAAGAAGAAAGGAAGAGATGGGGAGGTGCGTGAGCATAGACGATGGTGATGGGCGCACACGACGTGGCTGTGGTGAACAACACAGACGGACACAGACACAGACACAGCGAAGCAGCAACGCACAACAGACACAACAGACACAAACAGGGGGAAACAAGAGCAGCAGCGGTGCAACACACACACACACACACACACACACACACACACGCACGCACCAAGGGAAAGACATCAGCCAGCCAGCCAGCGTCATCCAATACCCCTTGCATCCACTGGTCCATCCATGCAGCAGTGGTGGTGGCAGCAGAGGAGAGAAGGAAGAGAATGCCCTGCTTTGCCTGCCTGTGTGAGGGTGTGTGCCTGCACACCCACTCACTGTCTGTGTCTGCGTGTGCATGTCACCATCCATACACACAGGTGTGTGAGACAGAGGGAAGCAAGCAGCCACCACACACATACACACACACACAGAGTGAATCACAAGCAGACACAGCATGAACGACATGCACACAGTCACAGTCACGCACACGCAAGTGCAACGCACCGTGAGGTGGCATCAGACTGATGGGTGTCAGCGTGTGTGCGTGCGTGTGTGTGTGTGTTCACACGTGTGTGGGTCGATGCAGCCCATCATCCCTCTCTGTGTGCGTGAGCCAAATGCATCCACGGCAGCAGGAGTGCGTGTGAGATCACAACACCCACCACAGCCACGTCCCACCTCTCTCTCCTTCACACACAAACACACGCACCAACACAGCAGTCAAACCAATTGACAAAACTCACCCAAACTCACAGTGCCAGCGTGGCATGGGACTGTGCAGCACATATGTCAGCCTCACCGACCGTGGACAATGCCTTGCATGCCTTTGGCCCTGCACACATCCATGGTGTGGTCGCTGCTGTGCGTGTTCTCTGCTTGCACCTGTGCACCATCACACCATCACCCACCACACCCCACACAGTCCATGGAACCAAACGAGACCACCCACAACAGAACCGCCAGTGAGTGCCCGTCTCAACGCGCACCCTCTCCCTCCTCTCCACCAACCCTGCGCCAGCCACGCACACGAACAATGCAAGCCACCACCCTCCCACTCAAACACACACACCTTGATTCGCGTTTCGCCTGCTGCTTGTTGTTTGTGTGTGTTGGTCTTGTTGGTTCGTGTTTGGGCGATTTGTGGAAGATGCCACAAATAATCGCCCACTGCTGCGTTTGTGCGGCAACTGCTGTTTGCTTGTTGAAGGGCGGACTTGCTTGCTTGCTTTGCTGGTTGGTTGGTTGGTTTCAATGAGACAAGAAGAAGAAGAAGGAGAAGGAGAAGGGGAACAGCACTGTGTGTGTGAATGCAACGCAGGCTCACAGGCCTTGCAGGCTGCGGAGGGAAGAAGAAAGGGAGAAGAAAGAGGGTGTGGAAAAGAAGAAGCAACAAACACACACGCACACACACACACACACACACACACACAGCTGTGCACAGCATGCATCCCCTCACCTCCTCTCTTCTTCGCTCCCTCCTCCTCCCCCTCCTTCTCACAGTCACAACAGACAACCAACAGCCACAAAGAGCTGGAAGAGAAAACAAACAAGGGGGAAGGGGCAACAGCCGCCCAGCCAGATCGCCATGGAAGCAAGAGGCGAGGCGATGGAGGAGGGAAAGGAGAACACCGTCCATCAACACACACGCACACACACATCCGTTGGGAACCCCACGTCTTCTGTCCTTGCTTCCCCTCTTCCTTTCCTTGGCCTGGGTTGAGTTGGGTTGGTTGAGGTGGCACAGCTCGCCATGGCGTGTCCATGCGTGGGTGTGGGTGCGGGTGTTGGATGTGGATGGGTTCCTCTCTCTGGGTGTGAAAAGGGGGGTGGAGGGAAATAGTGGAAGGGGTGGTAGCAGCAGAGAGGAGGAAGGAGAAGAAGCAAGGGGAGGGGGTAGATGTGAGCATGCCATGCGTGAATGGACAGCAAAAACACATGGGGGTGGGTGATGATGATGATGATGTGCTTGTTGTTTTGTGTAGTTGTGATGGCACAAGCACACAAAGGTCAACCCCAACTACACACACACACACACACACAATCACACACCTCGTCGGCGTTTAACGCATCTGCCTGGCATATGCGCACACACGCACGCACATCTGCAGTCATACACACACACACAGTGTCACACATGGCATTTTCCAGAGTGAGACGGTGCACCATGCACAGCAATGCAAACACAACCACCACAACTACCACAACGACAACATCTCGCCCCATCTCCACCTCCCAAATGCACGGTCACATGACCAGGTGCACAGCCGTGGTGGTGATGGTGGCCATGATGAACGCCTTCCTCCCACTTCCCCTCAATCCCTTCCACCAAACACACACAGCATTGCGTGCCCTCACCTCGTGCATCGTGTTGCTGTCGGCGTGGTTGATGGCGATGCATGCACGCGCATACGCACACGCACACATGGCGTGTGTGTTCCCAGTTGAGATGAGCAACGGAGAGACAGAAAGGGGTGACACGACACGATGGCCAGTCAACCCCAAATCCAATCCAGCATCCACCGCCGTGTGTTGCCTGCTGCAGTCATCATCACAATCACAAACAGGTGCGCAGGTGCAAGCAAAAGGAATGAGCCACTGATATATGTGTCATTGTCATGTGATACCACCACCACACGACATCACGTGCATGTGCACACGCACCCCCATCCCTCAACCAACATCATCGCCCTCCTATCACTTCCTCTCCCTCTCCCTCCTTTCGCTCTGCACTCCACGCCGCACCACAATCACCGTGTCACTTCCCTCCCCCCCCCCCTGCTCCCACCACTCGACACAACCCAACCAACCAAGCAACCAACCGCCAACGGTCATCCTCACCTGTGCTTGATGCAGCCAGCCAGTCAGCCAATGTGCCACAGCGAAACCAGAAAAAATGGAAGCGCAATCACACGCCACGGCCACTATCGTCACCGCTGATGGAGCAGAAAGGGGAGATGAAGGGGGAAGGGTGGTGGGCACGGGCCGTGTCCTTCCGTGTCCTCATCGGTGCAGCCCCAAACACGGTGCACAGCGCACATGCACATGCACGGCCATCACCACAGCAGCACCAGTAGCAGCAGCGAGCTAGCCTGCCCTGCGTGCCTGCCTGTGAGGCAAGGAGAAACCAACCAAAGACGAACAACAACAGCCGGTGATGGTGAGGACAGGAAAGGAGGGACACAAGGGACCACGCATGGGAATATGCAGCTTGTTGTGGGCGGGGTGCATCACCTACACACAAGAACAACGAAGCAAGCACCCAACAATCAAGCAACCAAGCGAGCAAGCACACAGCACCACCACCACCACCACATCCACCACTGCTGCGATACCTGTGTTGGCGGCTGTCTCGATCACGCCTCAACAGCTCCACATCACATGGGGAAGGCTGACGATGATGATGACACAGCGCAAAGGCGATTGGTTGGGAAAGAAGGAAGGGAATTCGGTTGGGGAAACCCCACACCTCCGCCTGCAGCCACGCATACGCACATTTGAGTTGTGAGATTGATTCATGTGAGACACACGTCAGTGCAACCACCCACAGCCAATGACTGCTCTGGTGTGTTGACACACATGTGTACATGCGTGTGCGTGCGAATGAGTACTACCACTCCACCCTTCACCGCACACACACACACAGCGCCAACGTCTCACCTTGTGTCTTCTTCTCTCGCACATTTGTGTGTGCGTGTATCGCCCTGCTCGTGTCATGAGGGCTTGGGAAGAGATCGGCCTCCGTCCTGTGCAGAATCACACACATGCACACATGCGCAAGCACAAACAATCAAAATCAGCAAGAATGACACCACGCAGCGAGCCAGTATGGCAGAAACAAACCACATCCACCTCCTTGTGCCACATTCCACATCACCCACACCACCTGTGCACATGTCACATCCCCAAACACAGATACACACAACCACCGCCACCACAAGCAGTACATCTGCACATGCGTGTGGGTGCGCCACGTACATCCACCGCAAATCACTCACCACCACCATCATCGTCGTCATGTTGGGCAACGGCGCATCGACGCACATTACACCCTGTACGTGTGCGTGTGGAGAAAGAGGTGAGTTGTCACAGAATCAGGCTGTCAACGACAACAACATCCATTGCCACCACCAACAGGCCCAACGACATCCAACCAGCACTTCACAATCACACATATACATGTACATGCTGATGTTCACACCCAACACATCACACATCACCCACATCACCACAACCACCATTCATCCCACCTCCATATCCATAGCCGCAGCCGCTGCTGTTGGGGACCAACGACGACGAGGACGAGGAGGAGGAGATGGCCCAGAGGCAGAGGGCCCGTTCATCCACAATGCAGCCACATCAGGTACTGCTGTTGCTGATGGTGGAAACGGTGAAAACAAACGGCCCCTTGCCACGCCGTGTCCTTTGCTCGCTCGCTCGGCTGTTTGGTTGGTCGGTTGGACGGAGACGGAGACACGCCGCTGTGTCCAAATCAATCGAAAAAGGGGGAAGAAGAAGAAAAGACACATGAGTGGACAGAACAGACAAGGGAAGTGGGAGGCGAAGAAGGGAACACAGCGTGTCAACCAACACACACACACACACATCTCAGTCGCCCTCTCACCTTCATCACTCGTCATCGCCATCGTCGTTGGTTCCACCGCTTCATGCGCCTCCTCAACGCTGTGAATTGTGTGTGTGCACAGACACAAGATGGGAGAGAATGCAGGGGGGTGAGGTTGACAGCGAAGCATCATCAACCACACGCCAGCCTCAAATAACCACCCGCATTGACACACAACCTCACGCACACACACATGTTGTCCCCACTCACCACCATGCACGCACACACACACACACATTGCTCACCTCTTCATCAGAGCGACTGACATGTGCAATGTCTGCCTCACGCCAGATTGGGGCTGGTGTGAGCCGGCGTGTGATGGCGGCTGTGCGGTCGATGGTGGTGATGGTGATGATGATGACGGCCGAGCTGAGGTAGAAGAGGAGAGAAATGGGGAAGGTTGATGATGATGATGGGGTCGTTCATGGTGGCTCCTTTCCCTTCCACTGATGTGGCCCTGGTGTCCATGCAACCAACACACAACGACAAGATACAACGATATCATCACACAAAGGCACAGACATGGCATGTGAGCACGGCAGACATATTCACCTTCCATCCCCCCTATGCTTTCCTACTCCTCGCCCACCACACACACACACACACACGCACACGCACACACACACACACACACATCTGCGCCTGACAGTGTCGCTGTGGTTGGATGTGCCCACCATGACCATGGACGTGTGTGTCCACAGCTGCTCCTCCCAATCCATCATGTGTGTGCACCCGCCCATCATCCTCCAACGATCCTCAGGCAGTCGCCCCCTTGCAGCCACAAGCACACACACACATGGCATGTGAGTCGCACAGCTACGCTGCTGCACGAGGCACAGCAGCGACAACAACAAGCACCCACAGCAGCAACACCAACACATGCACCATACGCCAACCAACGCAGCCATGATGGGCTCACCTTGCTCACATGTGGGAACACTGCATGAGCACAGCAACGGCAGCCGAATCGGGGGAGTTGCTGCTGCAGCAGCCGGCATGCGAGCCCGCTTTCATTACCATCCTGATGTGTGCTGGTACCTCACCACCTGTGCATGCGTGTGTGCGTGTGTGCGTGTGGTTGCAGGGAACGTGGATGGGAACAGGACACAACAGGCACAGAGCAAGCCATCACGTCAGCATAGCAGAAAGAGTGATTGACATCACACACACCACGTGTGCGCGGGCGTGTGTGTACGTGTGTGCGTGTCGGTGTGTGACCACCATCCCCCATCAACCCTCTTCCCGCGTTCACTTCAGCGCACCCCAGCACCGCCACCGCACCCATCACACAACCAACCAACCACTCATCACCACCAACATACCATGTGTGAGGCGAGTGCAGCTGGCACGCGTAGCAAGTATCCCCGACATTTCCCTCATCCTGCTTGTGCGTGCGCATCGCCTGTGAGTGTGTTTGTGTGCGAGCACCAGCATGGTGAGTGAGTGGGAGGAAGGGAAGAGGGAGCATGAATATGTGCGCAGCTACACTGCTGCTGCCACTGCTGGTGTTGTGCATGCATTTGTGTGAAGGAGGAGAAAGGGAAGAGGGAGAAAACAGAAAACAGAAGGGAAGGAACAAGACATGCTGCACCCCATCCATTCCATCCATCCCTCTTCCTCACACCACCACACACCATCATCCTCTGTCACCAGCCAGCCACACCACACCGTACCACACCACACTCACTCAGCATCCCCCACCCCACCTCATCCCATCCATCCAACCAACCAACACATCTCCTCTCCCTTTTCCCTCTTCTTCTCGCCCTCACCTCTGCTGCTTCTGCTTCTTGCCGAAAATGCAACTTGTGCTGTCGCCACCTGTTCCCAGCTGCAAACAGCCAGCTTCTGCCAGCAGCAGCAGCGGGCGATGGGTTGGTTGGTTGGCTGGTTGGTCGGGGAATGTGTTCAGCAGCAAGTGGTGATGGTGGTGGTGCATTCTCTGCTGCTGCTGCATCGGCGGTGGAGGGTGTGTTGGCTGCTGCTGCTGCTGTTGTTGTTGTGATAGCCGTCAGGGAGGGCGAGAAAGAGAGGGGAATATAAGCAGCAGCTGCAAGGTGAAGAATGTGCAGGTGTGCAAGCAGTTGTGTGTGAGAACGACGAATGAGACAGCGCATCAAGCAAGGCAAAACAGGCAGCCGCACCACACACATGCACACATTAATGTGGGACAACAAGGGGAGACAGGAGCAACAGAGACAGCGACCACAAAACACGCACACTGGTGCGGTGCGCAGCATACACACATATTGCAGTGATGCACTCACGTTGCTCATCGCTTGCTTGTTTGTGTGTGTTGGTGTTGCTGCTTCCACAGCCGCACAAGCGTGGCTGGATGGTCATCACATGGCAGCGCTCGTCTGTTCATCCCACCAGAGCAGTGGTGGTTGGTGGAGGGAGGTGGGTGACAGCTGCTGGCTCAAGGGCCCTGTTGTGTGGCGACAGCAGAAAGAAGGAAGGGAAAACGAGCAAGCGTGATGGTGGTGGTGTTGACGGTGTTGAGAGTGGGATGGGAAGGATGTGAGCAAACACACAAGAAAATGAGAAGTGGTGATGATGGCGTGTGGGTGGGTGGAGAAGAGAACATGCACGTCGACACGCACACACACACACACACACCTGTCTGGGTGATGCAGTGGTTCGATTACCATTCATCCGTCAGCATGTAGTCATTTGTTGGTTGGTTGGTTGGTGGGAGTCGCCCACTGCCTCACGCATCAGCCAGCACTTGTTGCTGCTGCTGATGATGATGATGATGATGGAATGCATCCATCTGCACGCACCACCACAAACGAGCAAGCAACAATAACAGCAACAGTGAGCAGCATGTCACATACAGAAAGGAGGAGAAGGCAGGAGGATGAGGCTGAGAAGAAACACAACCCCGTGTACACACACACACACACACATACACACACATTGGCTGTGATGGTGGTTGATGCCATTTCCCCCTCTATCTCTTATGTGTGCTGCTCACTGGTTGAGAGGAAGCATGATCCATTCTCAGGGTGGCCGCTGCATGACGGTGGCTGATGGCAGCTGTTCTGTCACCACACAACGGTGAGCAAGTGAGTGTGTGTGTGTGTGTGTGCATTGGTGTGTGCCACATGCAGTGGTATGTTGGTTGTGATCCAACCACCCATGGATGGATGGATGGATGCGTGGTGGTCCACATGTGTGTGTGTGTGTGTGCACGATGACAGCGTGAACTGTGTTGTTGTTGTTGTTAATGGTGGTTGTTGTTGCTGTGCGCAGTGTGCAGGGAGAAGAAGGAGAAGAGGAGGAGCACGGAGTGGGAGGAAGAAGTGGGAGCACTCAATCTCACCCTCACCTGTCGATGGATGAGTCATTCATGTGGTCGCTGGTTCGTTGGCTGGTTGGTTGTGCGTGGTGCAACACAGGAGAAGGAAATGGACAACGATGGATGGAAGGGAGGATGGAGAAGAGAGACGGTGCGCACACCCTCCCTGCACATGTGTGTGTGTGTGTGTGTGTGCGTCAGCGAGGACGACGAAGGGAAGGAAGGGGAAGGAAGGGAAGGAAGGAAGGAACGTGGCACGCACAACCACTCTAATGTGTGTGTGTGTGTGTGCACGAACCAATGACACATTCCCACCTCACATCCCCTCACCTCACCCCACCTCACCTCACATCACCTCATCTCACCTGCCTGTCAGCAGCAGCGACGACGACCATGATCACCATCACCATTCCCACCACCATCACACACACACACACCAGCTGCGCAGAAGAAGAAGAATGAAGCAACGGCGAGTGGATTGGTTGGTTGGTTGGTTGGTTGCAGAATCGGTTGTTTGCTCGTTTCTGCTCTGGCTGGTTTTTTGGTGTGTGTGGGATTTTCCTCTTCCTCTTCTTCTTGCTTGCTGCTTGCTGGCTCTGCCTTTATAAATTGCTTGTCCACGTCTTCTGTCGGCAACGTTCATACCAACGGGATCACGCCCGCTCTCGTCCGATCGCGGAAGCTAAGCCCGTTTGGGCCCGTTCAGTACTGCCGTGGGTGACCAGGCGGGAATCACGGGTGATGTTGCTCTCTTCCTTTTTTTTTCTTCTCTTCTGCTGTGGTGCTTGCTGTCTCTCCTTCACTTCCCTCCTCTCTCTTGTCTTAGCTTGGTGCTTGGTCGGTTTACCTCTCTCCCTCACTTCCCCTTCCTTGTCCTTCTCCCCCGCCCCGCAGTGTGCTTGGCAACCACATACATAGCGCATTGGCCGCTATTTATTGGCCGATGGCAAATTAGGTCGGTACGGCAACAACACACGAGAGCACGGGCCAGGTACTGTATGCAGGAACGTTTACAACGACAGCAGCTGCCACGCCATCGAGAGCAATCAAAGAGTTCAGGCAGGCAAAGTAAATATCTTTCAGGCAAGCACTAAGAGGAGCGGTGACAAGGAACAATGGCAAGTCACAGCGTATCGCCTTCCTTGGACGGCGCCCCTGAATCGTGAGGCGAGGCAGTGGCTTGAGGCGTTGCAGCGTCGTGCGCCTTCTCTGCAGGCTCGTCGTCACACGCCGCGCCTGCGTCCTTGGAAGCTGGAGCTGAAGCCGATGGCTCATCGCCTTCCACCTCGGACTGGCCGCTCTTCTGGTTGCCACCACCATCGGCATCACCGGTGGCAGCGGCAGTGGCGGCTTCCTCCTTTGCATCACCGCACTTTGCTGATGATGCCGATGACTGTGCATCTGCACGACCAAGGTCGCCGACCTTGCTGCTCGTGAAAGGGGTCACGCTTTGGCCAGTGTCCTTGTTAGTGCCACGACCGCCAGCACTGGCGCTGCTGCTGCTGCTGCCTGTTGGGTTTGGCAAGAGGGGAGGGCCTGCCTTGAACACAAACGGCTGCGAGGTGCCGCTCTTCTTCTTCTCATCCGACGCAAAGCTGAAGCCGCGGGCGGTGAAGCCAAGACCGCGGGTGCCCTGCTGCGCCTCCGGTGCAATTGGGGCGCGGATGCCCTGGCCCTGTGCACCAAGACCAGCACCTTCGACATAGCCTTGACGCTCCATCATGCGTTGCGCAGCCCTGTGAGTGTGTGTGTGTGTGTGTGTGTGTGTGTGTGTGTGTGTGTGTGTGTGTGTGTGTGTGTGTGTTGGCTGAAGGGAGTGCAAGGCTGCGGCATGGCAAAACAATGCGAGTGACAAGCACACGTGAGCCCTCAACCAGCCACACAAGTACGCAGATGCATTTAAAACGACAACGCACCCTGAGTATTGCGGCTCGTGCTTTGGGCGCTCCATGTACGCTGGGCGGCCGTCAATCCACTGCAGCAGAAGCAACGGCAGCAACAGCAACAGCGAATATCAATGAGATGACTTCCACCGCAACAACAACAGCAGTAAGCCAAGACTGGAGGTTGGGAAACCACGCTACAACTGCAGCACGTGCAAGCGCATCACCTGCTTCTTGATGATGGACTGTTTGCGCTGGCCGGGGTCCGCGTTGGCGTCGCGGAGCGTTCGTCCCCCAATACCGCGCGAGATACTGGCGAGGACGCGAAACACGAAGCATGTCGTGGAAGTGGGTGGTGGGAGAGGCAGGAGTGATGGGAGCGAGGGGAATGAGGACGAGGTGGTGACCAAAACGCGACTGCTTTACGCAGCACGAGCATCGCAAGCAAAGACTATAAGGCAACCGAAACCTCACGCAGGGTGACACGTACTCGTGTGTCATGGTGCCAATGCGGGCATCGAGGCCGGGGTCATCTGGCGAAGCGCCACACACCTGCTTAACCAACCGCCATGCAACGGGCAAAGTGTAAGCATGTGCCAAACAATTGCATTGCCAGCAGGGTGTGTGTGTTTGTGTGTGTGTGTGTTTGTGTGCGTGTGTGTGTGTGTGTGTGTGTGTGTCTGTGTGTATGCGTTTATGTGTGTGTGTGCGTGTGCTTTTGTGTTTGTGTGTGTGTGTGTGTGTGTATGCGCGTCAGCAGAGGACCCCTCCACTGCCATGACAGATAGCGCGTCACCTTGATCAAGTACTCGCGAAGGATCTCAATCTCGGCCTTGCAGTCGTAGCAGTAGTCGATGCCCTCTGTCCTCACGCCGTGGTCGTACCGGCTGACGCGCGCCGTCGTGTTGAAGTAGAACATCTGCTCCTCATACCTGAACAGCAGCGATGATGACGATGATGATGATGATGATGATGATGACGATGATGATGATGATGATGATGATGATGATGATGATGATGATGATGGTAGCAGTGGGGTCAATGCACGGGAAAACTCATCCATCAATAACACACAGGCATACACACACACACACACACACACACACACACACACACACGCACTGCTGGTTGTCGTAGATGCGGCGGTCGTGGCCGGTGACCATGAGACGCGCCTCCGTGGTGGTGATGGGACCCCACACGGGCAGGTAGATGTCGCCTGAGGCATCAGCCGGTCGGAGAGTGGGCAAGAGGAGAACATGGGCGCAATGGGTTCATGCGTACAACGAGTTCACCCCGCACACGCATGATGTGCCCAAACTCACAGCTGACGCCAACAATACCACCCTCAACACTGCCGCAGACACAACACAGAAACTGCACAGCTGCTGGCTGAAGCTACTTGTGAACGCACCATCGAGGTACTCCGTCTTGCCCGGTTTCCAGGACAGGCGGAACTTGAGCATGCTGGCAACAGGGCGCATGATGTCGTGCCAGCGCATCTGCGCAGCCTGATCCCCACCCACGGCCTTGTCTGTCTCCTGAAGAGAATGATAGTGACGGCGACGGTGGTGAACGAACGTGTAAATGCGTCAGATGATGATCAGCACAAAGGTGGACAGCGAGAGATATGGCACGCACACACGCACACACATACACACGTACACATACAAACACCGCCCCCCTCCCCTTACACACCTTGTCTGTGACGAGGTCTGGGTCCACGGAGCGGATGTCGGAGATGAAGAGGACGTTTTCGCCCTCGAATTCGTGCGCCAGGTCGTCCGTGAACGGCTCCTGTGCACACATGTCAACACGCGGAGCGCGAGTAATGGTAAGAGACGGGGTGGGTTATCGTGTGTGTGTGTGTGTGGAGGTCAGAGAGCAGAGCGCACATGTGTGTGCGGTGGCTTGCAGTGACCTACGACACATGTGAACAAGGTCGTGTGTGGTGAATGCGAGACAAGTGCCCGCGGGTGTTCTTGTGTGCTGACCTGGCGCAGAAGGAGTTGCTTGCACGCCTTGAGCGAGTCATTAAATGGCGACGGGTCAACACACACAAACCGGTGGTCAGGGAACATGCGAGCCAGCTGCACAATGTGTGTCCCGGGCGCTGTTTGTCACCGCGTGCACGGTTGCGGGCAGGGAAAGGTGTTCGTGAAAGGAGAACACATAAGAAAGAAAGCGGCACGCACGCACACATGCTCACACACACACACACACACACACACACACACACACACACACACACACACACACACACACACACAGCCATGCTCACCTGCGCCGGCGTACACGACTTTCTTTGAAAGGTGGCCAAAGCGGACCAGGAATTCAACCTCGCTCAGCAGCAACTTCCGCTGTCCCCAGTGGATCACTGCACCAACACATACACACACACACAGACAATATTGGTGTCAGTGGACCACAACGCAATCTTGCTTTGTGTGTGTGTGTGTGTGTGTGTGTGTGTGTGTGTGTGTGTGTGTGTTTGTGCGAGGCATGGAACAAAACTGTCCAGCACCCTTCCCATCGTGCGGTGTACATTACCTGTCTTGGTTTCATGTCGACGCCGACGATACGGCATGCGTGGGGATTCGTCCGTGAGGGTGCGAACGAATGGGAGGTCCGTGTGCGACACGTAGCGGGCTTTTGGGTTCAGCTTGACCTGAACATGCCGGAAACCGGGAAACAAAGCCGTCAAACCACGCATGAGCTCTCACTATCCCCGCAGTCAATCACACGCCCAACACAAACGGTTGCTCAAGACCATCTCCTTCCTTCACTGTGACTGCTCGCGCTTCTCAACGCACCTGCAGGATGTGTGGATTTGACGCGACGTCATCAAACTTTGGCTGCCACCGCTCCCGAACTTGGTCGATGTGCTTCACAACCTCCTCGTCGGCATTGCCGTAGTACTTGCCGCGCTTGCGCGGCTGGTCGGAAGCCAAGGAGTCCTCGCGCTGGCGTCGCAGTGGCTCGCGTCTCCGGTCCTCATGCCGGTCTCCGCGGTCATAGCGTCGGTCTTCAGGGTGCCGATAGTGCCGGTAGTCGTCAGCGCGCCGGTAGTCGTCAGCGCGCCGATATTCATCGCGCCGGTAGTCGTGACGAGGTCGGTGCCGCTCCTCACGTACATCTGGACCGCCAACGTTGTGGCCCACACGAGGACCGAGGCGACGTGCAAGTGCAGGGGAAGGAAGAAGAGCAGCCTTGCCCCCATCGTCTTGCTGGCGCCCATGTGGCTCGCCACTGTAAAACCGGCCGCGGTGGTGCGATTTGATGGTTGGTATCGCACGTGTGGTTGTTCACAAAACATGTGTGAGAAGAGCGCAAGGACTGACAGGCGCATCAACACCACGGCAATACCAGCAACGTCGCACTTTTCAAGGATTGTTGCGCTCACAGACACTCACACACACACACACACACACACACACAGAGAGAGAGAGAGAGAGAGAGAGAGAGAGAGAGAGAGAGAGAGAGAGAGAGAGAGAGAGAGAGAGAGAGAGAGAGAGAG